ATTTTGTCTTACAGAACTAACTATTCAGCTGATGTCAAGTCAGATTTTGTCTTACATCAGCTGAATAGTTAAGTTCTGTCAAGTCAGATTGTGTCTTACATCAGCTGAATAGTTAGTTCTGTCAAGTCAGCCCAGCTGATGGTCATATCTGAGCTGACAGAACACACTCCATCCAGCTGATGGTCATATCTGAGCTAACAGAACACATTCCACCCAGCTGATGGTCATATCTGAGCTGACAGAACACACTCCACCAAGCTGATGGTCATATCTGAGCTGACAGAACACATTCCACCCAGCTGATGGTCATATCTGAGCTAACAGAACACATTCCACCAAGCTGATGGTCATATCTGAGCTAACAGAACACATTCCATCCAGCTGATGGTCATATCTGAGCTAACAGAACATATTCCATCCAGCTGATGGTCATATCTGAGCTAACAGAACACATTCCATCCAGCTGATGGTCATATCTGAGCTAACAGAACACATTCCACCAAGCTGATGGTAATATCTGAGCTGACAGAACACACTCCATCCAGCTGATGGTCATATCTGAGCTAACAGAATACACTCCACCAAGCTGATGGTAATATCTGAGCTGACAGAACACACTCCACCCAGCTGATGGTCATATCTGAGCTAACAGAACACATTCCATCCAGCCAATGAATGATAAAATCTCCATGCAGATGAGAAGTAATAAAATGGAATGTGTTCTGTCAGCTCAGATATGACCATCAGCTTGGTGGAGTGTGTTCTGTCAGCTCAGATATGACCATCAGTTTGGTGGAGTGTATTCTGTCAGCTCAGATATGACCATCAGCTGGATGGAATGTGTTCTGTTAGCTCAGATATGACCATCAGCTGGGTGGAATGTGTTCTGTTAGCTCAGATATGACCATCAGCTGGGAATGTCCACACTGTGGCACAACAGAAAAACAAATTCTTTAAAGAGAAACACTGTCTACATCATAAAAATGTTACACACTATGATGAACAATAACTTGGAAGAAATAATACTACTAACAGGAAACCCTTGACAATTACAAAAAGCAGGAGAAAGCCTCAATCAACTGACAGCATAAAGGCAGCTTGAAATGCTTATTTGTTTGAAAGTCTTTGAACATTTTATGGAAAAAAAACTACATGCTCCACATTGATTATCATTATACTTAATAATGTCAACCAGTTTTATATATACAACTCTTTAGTTACATATACATATCAGACATTGAATTCCAACAAGTACTTGCACTCAATAGTTTTTATAACACAAAAAGAAACGAAAGAAGACATCTAAACCACTGATCACAAACAACTAACGGCTGGCCACAATCTCTCTCTGATTTTCAATTACTGTTTCATGTTTAGATGTAAAAAAAAGAGGCTACATAAGAAATATTCACCAAGGCTGGCATTTTACTGGGATGGTTATTGTTTTTTCCTTCTTTGTAAAACTATACTAGTTTTATTAACTAAACCCAACTGTCTACCAATTACTAGTTCCATAACCTTTAGAAAAATAAAACTCTCTGGAACATCAAGACTGAGTTCAAGCTTAGTATCCAAATAATGAAATATTTAAAAATAATTGTGTTTTGATGCATACTCAGATGTTAGTGTAACATTAATTCAACCATAAATGAAACAGTGGCTGTTAGAAAACAGAATGCAGAATGAAAACTTTTAAGACAAAACTATATTGAGTATACAAGAAATAACAAATTGCACATACAAACTTTGTTCAAATAATACAAAGTCACAACAGAGTAAAGGTTTTTACCAAATGGATTAAGTTATCATTAATTCAATTGTAAGGAAGATCTGTGAGATTCTAACTGAACACTGCTGATGAAAAATAAAACCTCAGATACTGAGCTGAGAAATGATAAAATCTGAGCTTATAAAATACACTCCACCCAGATGATGGTCATATCTGAGCTAACAGAATACACTCCACCAAGCTGATGTCCACACAACTGTGACACAACAGAAAAACATAGCATATTTTTTCCACTGCCTTAAGTGTACTATAATTCAGTTTTGTACAGATGACCAGTACTGGATTCCGTGTGTGAATTATCCATAGCATATTTCTTCCACTGCCTTAAGTGTACTATAATTCAGTTTTGTACAGATGACCAGTACTGGATTCCATGTGTGAATTATCCATAGCATATTTTTTCCACTGACATAAGCACATATATACCCCCCCCCCTCTTACATGAAATTCTGAACTAGGGTAGCACACGTTTTTACATAACAACTGTATTTTTTGAGACGTTTTGGGCAGATGCCCTTCATTAGGAAATATATGGTTAAAACCGTGTTATTCTGAAAAAATAGGCAACGAAAGATTCGATGATCGATTTTGGGAACACAGATCTCAACAGCTCTTCCAGTTTCTAGACATTATAATTTTTTGGCCCACAATGGCTTTCCAACAAGTCTTTGTCATCAAAAAGGCACCTCAGCAAAAGTTAAAGCCTTGACCCCCACCTCATCTTGAAATGAATCATATTGTTTTCTGGAATTAATGAAAAATTTACATTCAAAACCATTTTTTATTTTCATTTTTTGTAAACCAAGTCTTTTTAGTAGATGCTGTTACTTACCAATTAATTCAATAGCTTATTGAAAGCCTTTCCTCAATCGAGGAAAGACGTAACAGATCAAAGAAAACACGTAACAGATCATTCTATTTCTATGTTAAGTTATAACATATATTATGTTTTTTTTTAACAAGTTACAGCTTTTACAGTAAGGAATTTTTTTTAAAAACAGGTACGACATTTCTATCGTTACTGTGACCATTCTCAAGTACACAGGTTTTAAAAGTAAAGAAGGTATAAATTTTATGCTATTACAACTTTTATGGTAAGATTATTTTTCAGAACAGGAACTACGTTTCGATCATTCTCACATACATAAATTTTAACGTTTGTGCAGATTTGGACTAACGGTGTCAAACTATTGCTCATTCTGCACAAACATGGAAATAGTTGCTAACACCTACAAAAAAGTATATCGACCACAAAACCATATTCTTCAACGCCCCTTACCTGTGAACAAAACACTCCTGTTCTCCTTCCTTTTCGTAACTGTTCTAAAAAATAATCTTCCTTATTGTAAAAGCTGTAATATATAGTAAAATAATAGTTAATCAGTAAGTAACCTCAAAACGAAGGTATAAGTTTATTTGTGATTGTTATTTCCACAATATCACCTTTCAACAATATTTCTGTAAACGTGTTTCGCTTCATTCAGCAAGTCAATAATCACAACTTTTACATATTCTTATTCCTCAGTGACTCTTTCCTAGCCAAATAGTTCCATTTACATGCATTTACTAACACATTTATCTGAACTGTTTTTTTTTACACCCTTGAGGTAAAATATTTACTCACAAAAAAGTTCAGTCCTCCTCTAGTCTAGACAACTGTCATGTAAGCTAGGAATTCTGTACAACCAAGAAGAAATGGTGTTCCCCTTCGTGTTCTCCAAACTTTACCAGTTTCTCGTTTCAAATAAAAACATGCTGCTTTTTATTTTTACTGTGCATTTTAAATAAATCTATTTATCTATAAACAGGAAGCGAAAGAATTAAAAAAGAATTTTCACTTTCTCAACAACAAAAGTTTTAATAACAATCAAAAGGGATTTGGCTTCCTATCTGATAAAATTGTTTCAATTATTTACATAATATACCTCAACAATATATTTTACAATTTAATACACAACACTCAATGAAGAAAAGGTAACATGATAAACTCAGGACGCTTTCCTATTAAGGTACTTAACAAATGGCCTATACAACCATGATATCTTTAAAACAAATATTTTTGTAGTTAAAAGGATATTACTTCAATACTATTAGTACAACACATGAAATGCCAGTATAAGGTGAATTATAAGTCCTGACTATATTTATATATATATATATATATATTCAAGTTTTTTGTTGTTGAGAGACACAAGTCTAGTCCAGCCAACAGATAACGAAAATTGGCAAGCGGTGACAGTAGGCCAGTAATAACTGATTATGCTAAAATTACCAAAATAATTAACATAATTTGTATAGTCTTGACTACAGTGAGCCAATATTGACTACCTGTAGACCTATAACCTGTAAGTCCTGTGAGTAAACTTAATGGGTGTGTGTGTGTACATATAAATCTGTATTATCTTAATGGTAAATTAACGTACGAATGAACCCATAAACAACAACAAAAGTAACAACCACCTTAATGATTTACCAAAGGAATTACACATGAACATCCTTAGGAAATTGTTGAAAAATACCAATAAATGAAGAAAAACAATGGATAATTCACACACGGAATCCAGTACTGGTCATCTGTACAAAACTGAATTATAGTACACT